CTTCAGTTATAATTAATAAAATTATTTCACAATGTATATTTAAAATTCCGCAAACCGTTCGCTTCCCTGTTACAAAACGTATAGCGTACTTTCACGGCATCATAATAATGGAAAGAGACTACAAGAGATTAGAACATAATGGTGCGGAGGTGGGCGCGTGGGAACACTCCCAGCGCTCACGTGCCCGGCACATCACTTCGCTATACTAAATCTAACATTAATATGCTAGATTTAGATAACCCCACTAAAGACGTATATACGTCGCAGATATAAATTAATATCCCGAAAATATTAAACTAAAAACTGCATAGATATTTTACAAAATGTTAATTTTTTTACAAGCCTTTATTAATATAGGAATCACAAAGTAATAAGAGAAAGTGTATATTAAATTATAATAACACAGGTTTTACAATAATATTATAAATTTGCTACCTAACTATTAGATTGAAAACATCAGTACAACAAGGATTCAATAATAAGTTAATAGAGCTATGCTTAAAACCATATAGGTAATACTTGCATGAATAATACAAGTGAATGAACTACGCAAGGAAATCAATTATGCTTTCATTCATAAACTCACGTTGGTTCTATGTAAGCGTAGGTGTCCATAAGTCACCGGCCAATAAATCAGCACCTATGCACAATTGAGTGGGCTAGTTCATAACAAAAACTTGAATACATATTAAACATAAATTTGATGTGAGTACCTACAAAACACTAACACAACATTTACCGCGCTTTTGCCTGCATGAAATTAGTTATAAATATTACTTATACACATATAAATTGTGAAAAATCCATATCAACTTAGTTTTGCATTTAGGCTCTCAGTTCATAGAATAATTAATCAGAAGAAGTATCTAAATAAGTATAGGTTATGTACTTATTTATTACCTGTAAATACATATTGTACCTACAGGTAACAAATAAGTTGTTGGATATGTAAATGTTAAGACATTTGGGATTACCGTAGACCGTGCAGGTACACAGATCATAAATATACAAAACAATAAATCATGAATGGTAATGTGGGTTATTGAAATGAGTATGGTGTCGCGCTCGCGTAGGCTCGAGAGCTTATTTGATGGCCAATGGCAATAGTACCTAGTTAGTGGTTCCGGATACGTATCGGACGTGTCGGATGTCGGCGTGAGTCACGCGGCGCCCACGCCGGAGCGCCGCGCCTGCCGCCGCTGCGCCCACTGGCGCCCGACTTGCCCCGCGAAAATTCATTACGAAATTGAAATTATCTTTGTTATATCAAATCTTTATAAAACATAAATAACTACGCGTAACAGAAATAATAGACAAGATTATGCACATAATTTTAAAATCTCTAGTAGTTACTAGTGAGCTTTTTTTTAATAATGCATTAATATATTTTCTCATGATTTATTATTTTGTTCTTTCCTTACTTGTATGTTTGAACAGTGGATTTTTATAAGTGGTACGTTTTAGTGATTTATTAATAGTATTATTATATTAACGATCAAGACATTATGGGCCGCTGTTTACACTGGCTGTATTAGTAGTGCTAGTAAATATGTAAATTATATATTTTTTATGTACAAGATAAAATGTGTCGATAAATAGTTGGGTTTCAATCATGTTATCATTCCGGTGATTTTAGGTCCTTTACAATAAAGCTTAATATTAAAGGAAAATGTATCTCATCGGTGAGTCACTCGTACGCAATAAAACGGGCCTTTTAACCCCTACAGAAAGTTTTTATTACCTTGGTACTTTTACAAATGCGTGCATCCCAATAAAAGCGTGTAACTCTTGAAAATCACGAATTGACAATGTGCCGGTCGCATCGCAACATAAATGAACAGGGCCGTTGCCGAGACAGATTTAGCCAGCAGCGTCTGCGGCGCGTCTAGGCTATTCGTATTTGGGTTTTGGCATTGGACATTTTGCAGTCTCGTGGGAAACTGAGTTGAACGACTGCAGAGACAATGCGGTTGCCTGAAGTGATGCCAGATTAAGGGGAATCACCCTAATTTTAGGAGGCTTTTGTGGGTATAATAAGAAAGACAGAAGTAGGGGGAAGTGAATTTCTGTTACTTCAAAAAACTATGTTCTACCACTAACACAGACAAAAAATATAAATATAATAGTGGGCACTCAAAGAAGGAAACAAGTACCTACATAACAGTGGGGAGTGGGCATTGCACTTATTTTATTGGGAAAATTTTGTTCAAAATTTAAAATTTAGAATGAAGGGAGGGGGGACTGATTATGAAACAATTTTGGGGGGAAAGCATGTATTCATCTGGCAACACTAGTTGTCTGCGATCGCGGACAGTCGTTCACCGCACGCTACCGCCCACCCATGCCACGGGATTAGGTAGTTCCGTATTTATTTACTCCTCTGCCCATGCGCACTACTGATTATCAGTAGTCAGTACACTACCTAGTGACTTCTTGAGCGAATAACGAAGATTCCACATTTACGATTTAAGTACTATATTAAAACAACACATGTATTGGAACTTGATGAAAAATAAAACTAATAGCTGAGTTTACATACTTACTGAAAATACAAGTAAATTCTACATACGTACAAATTGTATTCAATTACGTATCTACCGGCGTTATAGGTGTTGGTTGTATACTTTTTCTACCACAAATAATATCTCTGATTATGTCGTCCGCATAATATAACTGTAATTCCATAAATTTCATATGGCCACCCCACATGAAATTTGTGGAAAGTTGACAGAGGTATTGTCAACTATCGACTTAAGTTGTGAACATAACGTTTTACATGACCCATTCTGCTGAGAATATTTTATTCTACATTGAAACAGGGCAAGCCCATAACAGTCTTCGATTAATTTGGTTTTGTCGATGTTTTCCATCACGTAGAAAACATAACTTACTTTATTGTATTTAAACGATTACAAACTAGTTCTAATTAAAAACTATTAAGTCGTTAAGTAACTTATTGATCGCTTTAATAACTAGCTTATTATCGATTGATTTGAATTAAATTACTCTATTACCTTCAGCAGGCCACCGTCTATAGTTATTTTTTTTTATGAATAAATATAAAATGGATGAATGAATAAAAATAAATACACCCACCTGCGTTAATCTTATATACCTATACATATAAATACCCTAGCGAGACACTATTGGCTTCGAGAGATTACCGTATGGAGGTCGATCTGATATGTTATAAATTTATAATGCTAGCAATGGAGCGACTAGCCTCCATTACTAACAATCCCCTCCTGCCTCCCGCCCAAAGTGAAATATTTAAGTATTCTATCTTCACTTAAGTAATACTCGCACTTAAGTAATAGTCACTTCAAATACAATTTGGTAAATATGAATGATTACTTAATACATATTCAATAACACCTAGTCATAATTGGAAATACCTTCGGATATCTGCACGCCTAAAATGATCTCATAAAGGTGCGGTCAGCAACAAAGCAGATTAATGGATGTGCAAATCTTAATGCTAACTGTACATAAACTACTCTATTATGATAATAACCTCTTAGACATCTGCATATCTTCGCCAGTTTATCTTCTCTGTAGGAGTTAGACAATAATATATTGTGTTTTGTTATAAAATGTTTTATAATTTGGAATCTGGTTGTAGGCTTTTTAACATCTACTTAAACATCCCGCGATAGATTATGAGAACTGTCATTTAATAATATTTTTCATTGTTAGTTTATATACGTAGATCATGAAAACTTTTACAAGTATAACGTATATATACGCCTAGAAACACACTACTCTATTATACTATAACTATAATTGATCAAAAAATGTCAAGGACTAATTTCATAACACACCGTCAGCTGAAACAATTTCATTTTATATAACTGAAATACTTTCTAAAATATTGTAATAATATCAACACTTAACTAAACTATACTCATAGTGTACGTGAATGGTGCAACCATTGCGAAATGACCATCAAGCTAGCCGTTAATAGACATGGATAACGTTATATACTGTATATATGCCACAGTAACTAAACAGTCCCCCTTGTGCATCGCAAAGGAATGTTATAAATAAGTATGTCTGTGACAGCGCAGCTCCAAACACACAAGCTAAACATTTCCATTTCAAAAATTAATACACCAGAGGAAGTGTAAAAGTATCTCCAGTATCGGAGAAGTTAAAGAGTAATCGTTTGTCTTGGTATGGGAATGTAATGCCAATATTTTAAAGAAAGTGTTTTATAAGAATTTGGAAAGTTGGAGACTGTGTATGATAGAAGATGATATAGCCAGAAAGGGAGTGAATAATTAGATGACTGCGAACAAAAAAAAACATATTAGAAAGATAACAAAAAGCAGATGATGATTTATAATAAAAAAACGTGAAATATTATTCCTGATAATGTCATCTATAGTTTTTTTTTTTTTTTTTAAGTGGTCTATTAGTAATACTAATACTATAATACTTTTTGTAAAATTAGTAACTGACAACACAAGAAGTGTACTGTTGTACATTGAATTGCAATAGAGGCCGGCAATTCCATTACATGTAGGTTTATTACTCTGATTGTTTTAACTTTAGAAAAAATGTAATAGACTATTTTAAATTTGAAATACAATGAAATTTGAACATCGGGTAGTACTTCAAGGGCGGGGGTTGGTCGATAGGCTTTGGCGGCAAGCCAGCCGACAGGCGGCGTGACCGCGACACATAAATTCACCCGCGCATTACAAGTGACAGTTCTCAATTATTACCATGTTTATGAACATTGTATTGTAACACTTCTACGGATTTTAGATATCACAACCCTCATATCGTACTGGAATTGAGGACATTGCAACGTTTACATTAAAGTCGTTCTCACTACTATTTTTTAAATGACTGGTTGATAAATTATAAATTAAATAGCCAAACAATTTGTAAAAATTAAATCTGTAAAATACCTATTTTAATTTAATTTAAATATCAATAATGAAACAGAATTTATTGCCGACTTGTAACTACATTGAATATTTACATTGTTCCAGATGAGCGGCAAGCGTACACGCAGCTATAGATGCGCGGTGCACCAACGGGACCGAGAGGTCAGCTCCGAGAACGACTTCCATTTGCTTCTCGAAGATCCTACATTATTTGCCAGGTAAGATCAAATCACCTTTCTTCTTCAGACTTTATGAAACTAGAGTACTGTGTGAATGGTCCGCTATACGGACCGAATTGGATAGGTCGGATGTACGGGCGCCGTACATATTTATTATTTTTTGTTGTATACCTAAACTTATAAAATTATGATTTAATCGAACTACAATTTTCTTTCATGACTTGCCTTCCTCAAAACCTGTCGTTAAGAATTTCATGAAAATATTTTGACGTGACCGGTAATTGCTTTTCCCAAACTTATTTAAAATTTGCTGCTCACCAAAACGAAAAAAAATAATCAGAACACGTACATACGTGTATTATTAATTCTTGTATTTAATATCTTACATCTTTGCTTTAAGTTCCTACCTACTTAGGCACTATCTTGTTTTTAAAATAATTCTTCACTGGAAAATATAAGACCGACAGTAATAATTATAAACTGGAGAAGTAACACAAAATGATCTTATTTGTATGTTATTTAATGTTTTTCAAAATTATTCGTACGAGAACCAGAGCATTACCTATTTTTACAGCAAATGTTCTGAAATACATCAAAATCGAATATGTCGTGACAACCTGACAATCAATAGGTTAGGTACATCACACACATCACAACAACTATCTATACTTTCGACAAGTAAATTGATAGTAAAATGTAATCAAATTAACAAAATTTCAAAATACCTATTCAGTTTCACAAAATTTTATCGTACAATTTCTCTATATCGAATTGAAACTCTTGTATCGATTGACGGTTGCTAAAAATATAAGTTTTTATGTTCACTTGTCGTGTCACATTGACATGTGGTGTGCTATCATACAATAAAATCGTTAAAATATTTTTTTATAAGGCCAATAATAATTATAAGACAATCGTTAAAGTAAGTAGATTGATCGTTTGTAATTATCATCCATTCCGTATAGTTAATTTTAACTCGTAGGTAGCTAAACGATGCAGTCAGCCTAGTACATATTAGGTTATCGTTCTCTATTAGATATAGACTAATGTGCTTCTTTGAATGAAAGAAAAAAAAGAAAATGATCAATAATAGGATCAAATTAATGCATTGATTTTTGTCTTGTCCTTGTTATAATATAAAAATAAGATTTACAATTTATTTGTTATTACTAAAGATATTCACATTTGTATATTGTCATCTAAATTATTATATACATAAATAAAATCTTGCAATATAGTAGCAGTAGTGTTATTTCATATTGAAGTTATAACCCGTCCCAACTAAAGTGTCTCGACTAATTGTAAGAATCAAAACAAAATACATGCCACAGAAAACTCGTACTTGATCGTTGCTAAAATATCTCACCTTGTCTACAGGATGGTCCACCTAGTAGCAATGGAAGTGCTTCCAGAAGAGCGAGAGAGGAAGTACTACCAGGAACGATACACATGCTGCCCGCCACCTCTCTTCATAATTTGCGTCACATTGCTAGAGGTAATTCTTAATACAATTTCTACATTACTGTACATTTTCCAATGGAGTAGGAATAAACTTAACAACTAAGAGCATTTGAATAAACAAAAGAAAGAAAAATAAACATTCAATTTAAAAGTTTCTGTACACTTCATTTTTATCAGCGTTTAATGTACCATAAATTAACACCAAACATAGAACTGTCAGCGGCAATGCTCCGATTCTCGGCGAACATGAGTTGTTCTCTACGGACAAAATTTTCACTTATGTGCCTATCCTTATGTGAATAGGCACTTGTATCTGACAGATAAGTTTTGCAGAGTTCTGTAGTACTTAACATATCCCTAATTGTAGTCTATTATTTACTTTTAAGTGTATCACAGCTATTACCTACCTTCTACATTTATTTGACAATGTGTCTCTACATATGAGTTTCGATTTATTGTACCGTAATGGTACATCACTTTCTATTCTGCACGAGCACCGCTGCTCAATCCCCGCTCTAGTTACTTGGGTTAATTAAAATTTGTAATAGCGGATTTCACATCCGTGCAAACAAGCGGTTTACGTGAAACATAACAAACGGTCGGCGCACGCGCAACACGCAGGCCCATGCATAGTGCTGCCCATCCGGCGCTACGTTGCAAGCAGTGACTGATAAAGTTTGGAAAAATGTATGAAATAACATGGCTATGTATATTTTAAATTCACTGCCAAAAATAAGTATCGAGTCAAGTCATTCTGATTATTTTTGTAATCGCAGCTATTTACAGCATTGATTGTGTCATTCTTGTTTCGCCACACTATTTTTTTTTTCTTATATTACAGTACAATATACCTAATACGAAATTACCTAATCTTTTAAAAATACATACTACATTACATGGTTACATAGATAACCACACAAATACAATCCCATTTTATTTATATGCAAAACAATTATGTTAGTATTAATACAATATGCTAAAAAAAGTAACACAGAAGAAAAGTAATTCACTTGGTATACTAGAAACTTTATATTCATTCATTGGATCAGATATTTTTATTATTATTTGATTTTTCCGTTATATCTATATTTCATGCTTTGAATCTACATTGAAGGGGTGACTGATTATTCACTCTGTTCGCATATGCCCGTTGATTCACCGCAGTACGATACTGTTCAAGCCGCTCTATTATGATATATTTAACGGTTTTCCCTCAATGAATAATTCAGTAGAACGTCATCAATAACGTTTACGTTTTGTTTTAAAACGAATAAACCACAACCACCTTTTAAAAAATATTATTCATTTATTTAAATATTATAATTATTTAAACATATAAATACTATATATTATGCTGTAATAATTAACAAGTTAAATTTAATAATTCTCATAATATGACTGTAGGTTCGAAATTAGAAGTCGGTCTCGAGCAATTTAGTTTTTCTAAATAATACCTAAATCTAATATATGAAGTTACTGTCTGTTATAAACTCGTTCGGTTGCTCCTACACTACAGTTATTGTGTATAATGACAACATATTGAATTATTGTCAAAGCAAATATTTTGTCGCCGATTTACTTATGCTAAAACTGTTTATTTAAAATGTATCCAGTAGATACAAAATAGGCACAAATTGGTGCTGAATAAAGAACATTACAAAACCAAAGTAAATATTCAATAAGTGTAAATAATTATAAAAATGAACTTTATAATCGTATAAACGTAACAGTTATGAGCTTAATTTCTTCCTTACATTTCATAACGATCCTATAACCTTGATTGCTATAAGGACCGATGAGGTTTTTCATAACGGTCGATAACGTCTAGAAACCGTCATTATCGTGATACCGCTTATCCATTACCCTTCTATAGGACCCTTAGTCCTATCATACCACTTATCCTAAAATGTTTTAAGATTTAGTATACATTTTTGCAGTTGGGCGTGTTTGCGTGGTACGCGTCAAGTTCGAGTGGGGTGGCAGCGGCGGCGGGGCCCGTGCCCGTGGACTCACCACTCGTTTACCGACCCGACCGTCGTCGCGAACTATGGAGGTTCCTCACGTACAGCGTCGTCCACGCCGGCTGGCTCCATCTCGCCTTCAACCTTCTTGTACAGCTGGCAGTGAGTACTCAACTTATACGTGGTTACTAAATAATGAACCCGTCTAATAAGTGAAAGATTTTTACTTTTAATATATTTTTAATAGATTAACCATATCAAAGTAACAAACAAAATACTATTTCTTTTGAACAAATGGGGACAGTAATTCTTCAGTATCTGGTAAACTGTACATAAGAGCAAATAGTAAAATAAAAGAAAAGACACATTTTTTCTTAAATGAAAATGAAATCAACTCAAAATGTTATATTCATACTCATATAAGAAACCCTGGGCAATCATACTCATGAATACAAGTTTGCACCAGGAATCGAACCCGCGACCATCGGAAATAAAGTGGGAAACCGCTAGACCACCCAGGCTATGAATTCTTTTTTCAAGCGTTCTTATTCTATGTCAATTTATTCGCTGTAAAATTATGCAGACATGCTGAACACACGAATTATAGTTATTTCCTCAAATTTCTCTCTATGTATTTATTTAAGATGAAGGATCTTTAATTGTAATTTCGGTCTTAAATCTACAATTATCTCTCTCTTACGCTAACACGTAGAATTGAAAAAGTTCGTATAATATTTATTTGAAATTGCTTTTATTAACAGGTTGGTCTACCACTTGAAATGGTGCACGGCGCACTCCGATGTGGTGCGGTATATCTAGCAGGCGTACTGGGGGGATCCCTGGCGGCGTCAGTACTCGACCCTGATGTATGCCTGGCGGGCGCGTCCGGTGGCGTATACGCGCTGCTGGCGGCGCATTTAGCCAACGCATTGTTAAACTTCCACGCGATGCGATACGGCGCCGTGCGATTGGTTGCGGCGCTCGCAGTCGCCTCATGTGACGTGGGCTTTGCTGTCCACGCTAGGTATACTAAGGTGAGTAATTCATAACCGAAGCAGTATATAAGTATTGTGGTTTCGAAATTTTTATGTTAACCTAACCTAACTATGATGAAAAACAAGCTAACGGTATTGGTAAATGACAACCATCACGTATATGTATACATATAAAGCAGCACAGTCATGTCTTTATATGATGCCTGTGGTTGCCGTTCCGGAGTACTATGAATGGCATACCTCCTTACACTGTAATTCCACTACCATATATCATCCTCCTTCATCACCCTTGTGTGCAATAATCTGAATATTGTAGCGATAAATCAAATACTGTGGAAATTAATATATGCAAGGAACGGATAAGTTCCTATATTGTCAATTTATGAACTTCATTTCTTGGTGTCTTTCATTGCCACCAAGTCAGGATCTGATTATGTAATCTTCAGATGATTTAGGCGCATGCATGTTTTAACTGTCGAGTTATTAATTGTACAGTTAGTCGAAATGGAGGGTTCTTTTTATAGTCCATTTTGTGATTTTATTAAAAGCCAGTCGAAAAACTATTGTTAGGCCGGAGTCCCACATTTAAACAGTTAGTTACTAGAAGACTCTTGCCAAATGAATCGACGCCAAATCGTCAAATACTCACCATTTATAATGAATTATATTACCTCTGTGACGTCATATAGTCAACTACATTATAGATCATAGTATCAAGTATGCTCAAAATTATCTTATTGGATTCATCGATCTAAATATATCACCGTAACAAACTGTCCTAATCTATTAACGACCTTTGGAGCATCGCTCCATCTTGTTGAGAGTCGTCTTACTCAGATTTGCCTTTAAGTTGGTGGTGGATAAATTTAAACTCATAAATAACTAATGTCCTATATCTATGTCGTTATCTATATTTAAACTGTACATAATGTAATCATTGCGTAACTGTCAATTTTCGTTTGTCAAGCAGGAAGCGCCACCGGTGTCGTACGCAGCACACGTGGCGGGAGCGCTCGCAGGCCTCACTATAGGCCTGCTAGTGCTGAAACACGCACAGCAAAGATTGTGGGAGAGATTATTGTGGTGGGCAGCCCTAGGGGCGTACGCAGCATGCACGCTCTTCGCCGTTCTCTACAACATCTTCAGTGGACCCGTGGACGAGCTCCACTACATGCCGCCAGACCCTCCTCCCGACGTTGCCGGATTCTGACCTAATAATGTCACGCGACGCCGCCTGCTGACCAAAAACTTAGGCTTTGACGACATTCACTAGTTTCTCCGACCACAGACTGTTGAGGTAGTAGCTAATAGAGAACGACTGCAGATATTTCTTACTAAAGAAATGCACCAAAGTAGGTTCTAGAAACTAAGTACATGAACATATAAGCTTAAGAGTAGAATATTGCCAAAAATGTCCATTATGACGTTATTTTATGGACGTTTATAGTCAATTTTATTACGCAGAATGACTCAATAGAGTTCTTATTACATGATTACCGTCAATATTTTCTTATAAGGCGAAAATGGAGTCAAAGCTTAAGTCTAGATCACGCAACGACTGCGACCTACCACGCCTAGTCAATTTACCTTAGTGTGATTCGCTATAAGTAACGCTATGTTCAGAGGAGGCTCATGATCGGCTGGGTTGCGCACGATCTAATCGAAATCAGATTGAAATTATATCCAGTGGTGTTTTTAAATACAAACTAGAAAATCGTAATAATAAATTAATTACAAATGTATATAAACGAATAGTAAACCTTTTTTCCCAAAATTCCCTGTAATAGAGTTAATACCATGGAATATATCATCAATTTGATGCGATTTTGATTTGATCTCGCCAAAAGCCAGCCTGCAGTTTACACAACGTGTGTATTTCGTCCAATATAACAGAAGATTTATGAATCTTTAATTTTTTTTATATAAATTATGAATCAATTGTTAAAATTGATTTGTGCGTTAGCTGTTTTTTACAGTGTCCAATAGCATTGAGACCTCCTCGCGATAATTAATTGTTAAGTAGTATTAATTGTATTGGATAGGTGAACTATTTTTGTACCTACTCTCTGCGTCCGTAGTCTATAGGTTGATGGCGTTGCCGCTACACATACACAATAATATGTTCCCATATGGACTGACCAACTCGACTAAATGTTGTGTTAACTTTTATAGTAATTATAGTGTTTTATTCATTGATTGTTAACATTAATGCCACATGATTTTAACATTGCATTTAGTTAGGAAAGTCAGCGTAGTTATGGCCTGCACACCAAAGATTAGGATTAAATGGCATTCCTACTCGAATGTCGGAAACAATCTCATTCTATCCTCATTTAATTTGATTATAGCTGATTTAAATATTGCGGAAATAGAATTTACTTCAAGTTTGCTCAGAATATATATACTATAAGTATGCCTCAATGAGTTAACATGATTAATATTGTAATATATAAGTAATGTATAAAATGCTCAATTTCAGTTATTTTTTATTGTGAAATAATGCTCAAAAGTGAGTTTTTTTTATTTTATGCGATCAATTGGATCATAATAAATAAAGATTCCTATTTCATTTTGTCATATGTGAAATCCATTACTGATGGACTGCATCACAACTTTCACTTGATAGACCTAGTAGACTCACTAGAATAGATAGATAATTGATAATAATGTGCCTGATTCCTATTATTATTATAAACTTGATTGTATACTTTTAATTCTAATCAAATAATGTCACGACTGATTTTTGTATAAATTATTACAGAGTGTTTTTCATTTAATTTATTTTAAAATTACTTTAAGTGTGAATCAAAATAATTATAATTATGTGATTATATGAATGAAGAATAAGAATGATTATGATTAAAAGTGATTGGAAATCGTATTGTTGTCGTTTTGTTTCTACTACTACCCTGCTACAAATGTCGAGATGAAAATTTTCTCTAAAATATGTTTCCAAATTGTCTACAAGTTCAGAGTGCAAAAAAAACTATAGATTTTATATGACAATTTCATTCGCATGTCAATGTATTTTTTGTTTTTGTAATTAATTAAATTAATAACATTAATTCACATTCATGGTAACAATATTTAAACAATCTATTTTAAATAAATTGTTTCCCACAAACATAGATCGAAAGAGACGTCGTATATTAATTTTATGAATACTAAGTAAAAGTCTACTACTAGCCCTGAAATTATAAAAGACAGTAGTGGCAAACACAATACCTGTCATAAAAATACCAGCCGTTTTGGCTAAACTTTTTTTTAAACATTTTCGAACTTTGTTGTCTAATAGATCATAGATAGAAATGAATGATAGAGATAAATGGAGCCTTCCAAACTTATTAAAAGCTAAAATATGACAAGCAAAGTATATTTACGACATCTATTTAAATCCATATCTGTATTTCTTATCATACATGTAAATAAATCTATAACAAATAATTTATTTTATCTAAATAAATACATTGTGATGCTTACTAAGTTCAAAAGTAAGTTCTAAATAAACCGACGGTAGCTCGAACCCAGAGGGGCGTCTCTCTATGTTGCAGTTCTTTCCCACACTCTGATGCATACTTATGGAGCATTGTACACTCTTCATGAAGTTTCTCCTAACATGAAACAAAACATGAATAAAAAAATATTGGATTTGAAATAAAATAAAATAAAATTAAAAATTGAAATATAAATACTATAAACTACTAAAATTTGGTTCAAATTGCAGTCATATACATTAATTACTATGGGGTCTACTCTTTATGAGTGAATTGCAAATAGAATTATCTAGTAAATCTTTTCTAACACACATTTGACTAGATTTTACGTCATCCAACATGTAGGTATTTAATTATAATATTTTGACCACAATAATTAAATTAAACTAATAAAATGTGTTACTTAAGTACCTGTAAATCAGATGACTCAGTAATAATAATAGCCTGAGCTTCTAGATCCCGTCGCACTGAGCGCTCTCCAAGATTTGCGGAACCAACTAATGTTGCCCACGGTACCCCACTACCAGGGGGATAATACCTAGAAGCAAATACAAAATTAAAATTGTAACTCTTCTGTAATTACTATCTCACAGAGTTAGAATAAAATATGTAATCAACATAAAAAAAAAGTCGTACCATAAACCTTTCGCGTGGAATGTCCATCCAGGCCGTTCATATTCCAACATGGACACTCTACTTGCTTGGTTAGTATCTATCACTCTCTGCCAGAACCTGAAATAATCATGATTTATTAGGAACTAAAAAATAAAGATATGATGTAGGAAACATATATTTATTATGTATTGCATAGATACAAATTCAGTAAATAAAAACTTACTTTTTAGCTATCAAAGAATATGCATGTGGTATGCCACCTGCAGGACCCGCTGCTCCAAGAAAGCCATTAGCCTGTAAATGGATTTAAAAATATTAAATACAATTTTTTGTAGATAAAATATAAAAAAATACATAATAAGTTTCTAACTAGCACTTAGATACATTTGACCTTTTTTATTTCAGCTGCAGTTTGCTGTGTATGTCGTGTTTTGATTATAGAGTAAGATTAGGCAGAGAAATTACAGGATGAGAGGCATTTTATTTTAGTCCTTTGAAATGGCACAATGTAAAAATTTATGGATTTTATGAACATTTTTTGTTTCTACTATAAATTTAGTTATAATAGACATTACTTATATAATATTTGGAGAAAAGAAAAGAATTGTTCCCAATATCTTACATTTGGATGTGCCATCAATAAACTTATATTTGATTTAGAATTACGAAGTAATATCTGCGCATATTCTTCTGTGAGATTAAAGTAACCTGTCGCCAGGCGTATGTAGGAACCCTCGGGTGTGGAGGCAAGTATCCTTTGTGTTGCCTGTTCATCTTGAGTTATATTGAATTCCCCCATTTGAACTAATGGGAAGACCCATGTGTCTGGAAAAATAGATAATCAATAAAACAATTAATATATTTTTTATTTAATATCAAACTCTTAGCTAGGGAATTGTAAGTAATGGAGAACAGTGATCCACTCAGTCCCTCATTGAAACCAATGTGGTTATTTAATATTGAATTATCAGTTACTACAAGCCTGTAGATTATTCAATTATCACCTAAAAAATATTGCAAGCCTGGCCTAAAAATGGTTTTGACTAAAAGACTAAAAGTTTAACCAAATCATACAGTCTAAAACTGGCCACTACAGATTATTTGAAATAAGTAATAGTTAGACTTATCAGTAATAAGAATTAGACAAATATATAATGTACCACTTAAATTCTTCTGTGAAGTAACCTTCGCTTTTTGTATTGTTACCCATTTGTCAATCAAATTCAAAATACCCTTGTTCATTTCCTTCGTAATTTCTTCTTTTGAATACAGACTATGACATATTTTGCCATCTGTACCACATCTTTTACTAAATTTACACACTTCATCTGCAATAAATGTAATAATTAATGATAATAACAACCCTTGACAATCGATATAACATCATCTAGTCAAATGCTAAGCAGAACTTGTGTTTTGGGTACTAGAGAACTGATATAAATACTTCAATATTTTATTTTGAATATAGTTACACAGTATAGACATACAAAACACCATTACAAACAATCATACTTGTGTTTACACTATGCTAGGAATCAAACCTGTAACCACTGAAAAGTGTGGTAGTGTGCTAAACAACTGGACCACTGAGGGCTTCAATTAAAATATAAGAACAATGACACACAATAATAATTACATTGATTTCATTCTTATATATAAAAATAATGTGTTTAAATGAAATACCTATTGTTTAATAATTAATCTTCATACAGAGAATGATTATACTTATTGATTACCATAATTTAACAATTAGTTACTGAAACATTTAGAAATATAAATTTTAAATTTTAAAACTATTTTACAATTAAGAATATCAAATACAAGCATTCAAATAATAAAAAAAAATACTTGTATAAAGCAAGTTTCATAGTTTATATATTGAAGAGAGTCAGGTTGAATTAAATTAATTCTTTTCAACATACATAAACAAAAAAGAGCAAACAAAAATGATTAGCAATAACTTACAGTCATCATACCTATGAGTTCACTATAAAAATTTGCCAGATCAACATCCTCAATTTCAATGTAACGGTCCTGACGTTGTTGAAAGTAGTCATTGGAACAATTAGCACCACTCAATAGCACTTTATTATCTGCTATGTATAGTTTCATATGCTGGAGCCCAACCAACTCATTGTATCGTGAAGGCACAGCTTTGGACCAGCTTGTCTGTAATTTAGGTGTCTGATACAATGACACACTACATTGTTCTGGTACAGAATTTATAACTTCTTGTAATAAAGTCTTAGAATTCACTTCTCCCCGGGTACCACGATGGTAATCTAATAGAACTTTAAATCGCAGTTCCTGTTTTACTACATTTTCTTTCGTAATTTTTAGAAGTTTCCTTTCCAAGGCACCTGTGCCAATATACAAACTTGCAATAGAAATCCTACGGGTTGCGTTTTTAAATCTTTCACTTAAAGTGTCGTAAAACTTTTTTGGATCAGTAATAATATTAATTTTCGATGATTTCACAGGAAAACATGGTGCTACTCCGTACAACCAGTTAAAATATTGCAATTCCGTTGGTTTAAATCTTAATGACAAATTTCCGTTAAACAACATTCTATTGTAGGATTAGTTTGTCCCACACAATATAAATAATAAGAAACTTAAGTAAAACATTAAGTTATTCAATGATGTACTCTAACTGAACTGAAAGTACTTAAACAGAACATTATAACCAAGGTTCCGAGGAATAACCTAAACATTTGAGTTATAACTTAAAAAATATAAAATCCCAGAATCAATGAAAAGTGAAGTAGTAAATAAATCATATATACTATATTTATCACTACAATAAATGTATTTATTCCAATTATTTAATTCAATTCAAATGGAACTGGGTGTCAAAATAAAATTTCTGAGAGCGAAAATGAAATTGAATTGACATTTGACAGTATCACTTGACATAACATTGACAATGACAGTAAGGACCCGAGAGTAGTGGTGGGCGTTGAGTAAACGAACCGCTTTGTAAATCTGATTTTGTACGTAACGATTAAACTAGTTCACAGATAAACCAGTTTATTCCTCAAATGGTTTGTGAGTTCGTTGCATTGTGTCGCGATCGTTTCGTCTCGTCTATAGAGCCAATGGAGGCGTTCGCTCTGATATTGCTAATTGGTAAAATATATTTTTGTTCGTTTAAAAAATTAACGATATAAAATAATTTATCTCTTTACCTATTAAGGTAATTGTTGGTTGACTATTATTTTTAATTTTCTTGATACATTTGTCATAACAAATGTAACTGTGCAATAACATTGACATTGATAGTGTTTCCCAATCTTATAGTGCCAGGCCCCTACGTAGTCTATAAAATTATTTTACTATTTTAAAATTGTGTCACAATCGGGAGATTTCTTAATGTTAAAATAGGAAAGTAGCTAGCTAAAAATACTAGCAATGCCCTGGAGAACGAATAAAATGGCGACTTGAGTCTGCACTCAAGTCGCTATTTTATTCGTTCTCCACGGTTCACGAATTTCTCATTCATTCTCCATTAATTAATAACAATTGTTAGTAGAATTCTGTACGAGATGTTGGTAATTGTAAATATACATACATAACCAATGAAGCATAATAGTTATAAGAATGGGAATTGATAAATATTAAATTAAGAAATGGTTCTTTTTATATTCTTTATTTCACCTGAAATGCAGTATATACAAAGTGAGCAACGGTGGCCTTTACCAGTCAACCCAACACAGCGTGGCATAGCGAGTAGTGAGTAGGTAATACTAGCATAAGAAATCTATACATATAAATAAAATTGGAGGATTGTTTGTAATATTGAAATAAATGTTTTTTTCTACATGCATAAGAATATAAATACATACGCAAAAATAATATTTTTTACAATTTTTGTCGGTCTGTTTGTTTCGCCTAATCTCTGAAAAGGCTGGGCCGATTTTAACAGGACTTTTATTGGCAGGTAGGTAGTTGATGTAATAATGAATGAGAAACTTAGGCTATTTTTATTTTAGAAAAATTCTAAGCGGAATAAGTCGCGAGTACAGCTAATTATTAATTATTGTTAAACTTAAAGTAAAATTAGTCCCCTAAGTACACTCACGGTGAACGCACACTCGGTGCGTTCTATCTCTAACTTCTATCACCTGCACCTTTGTACTGTTTTTTTAAAGAAAATGGATTGAAAGATGGATGGAATTTTATGGATTTCCAGATTGACTATCAGTGTTTATATTTTATACGCGCCCTAATTTTCACAGAACTTTTAAAAGATTCAACCAATATACCATTATTTTAAGTGACGTTATTATATGTAGGTATATATCCATAGATAAATTATATTACAATTGATCAAATGTTAGCTAAAAGAAAAAATACAGTAAAATAAAACCACAATAAACATATTATTGTAATATTTATTTCTAACACAATTATCAGAATTGAGTACAAAATATAAAAATATAGCTAGTACATACTCCTTATTAAAAATACATTCCGGTTTAATTATAGTACTCAATTTAACGCCTAAGTTAATAGTTATTACCTAACTTTATAGTTATTTCCACTTTCCATAAAATGGATCGTTAGTTTAGTACCATGTAAAAAATAAAACTATGCCCACAAACCTTACAGGGTTAGTCGAAAGAGCATACTAAGCAGCAAGTATATGAAAGTACCCATTGTAATGAGCAACTTTTGTTCTATAACTTTCCCTGAAACCATATAATTTTTCCGAGAAAAACGCGTCGAATGTTGTCATATGAAAATACAATATTGGTATAGTACCTAATGTTTCCTTACTATCATTTGTGAATTAATTGTTTAAGTTATTCCAATGTATAGTTTTTTCACAATTAAGTAAGTTTAAAGCTCATGTTGTTCTTCAAATACCTCACCGTGGTTTATTCCATAATATATCTTTTTATCTTTTATGTATGCCCACGACATTCTCTGGGATGTATAATGTATGCCAATATCCCCATTTTTCGATAAAGTAATAGCGCCAGCTGTATTATTTAAACGCGATGTCATATCTACACGGAGAAAAAATATAGTATAAATATAGAACAAAGTTAAGTGCAACTTAAATACCGGTGATTGTTATGGACATTATATTTATTATTTATTTATATGGATAACATTCATAATAATAGAAAAACTTTTATTAGCCTTACCGTCGATTGCTTTTTTTGTAGCAGTATTTGCATCAAGTCCATTTTCCATAAGCTTAACAATGTTGTGAGCTACGCAATATTTGAGTATAGATTCTCCATGACCTGTTAAATTATACAAATATACTATAACATTAGTAGCCCTTTTTTTATTTATAGTCTAGTATATTTTTTTATTTGATTACTTTGAAGCTACAGGTAATATCCAATCGATATTACCTGTGGTGGATACTCCTCCAATCAGATTGTCTGCATAAGTTCCACTGCCAATTTGCGGGGTGTCTCCAATTCGACCGACCGCTTTCCCACTCATGCCACCAGTACTAGTAGCAACAGCGATTTGACCGTTAATATCAATTGCAACAGCACCCACAGTTCCAACATCTGCCTGTAATTTTTTATTTTTTTATTTGACTAGAATGGCAAACAAACTTACGACCAATGAAATGTGATTAGTGCCTATAACGGTACCCATTAAAATCCACTATGATGAGTTTGGACTGAATTTTGTATACATACGATCTACATGACTACAATATGCATATTTAAATAGCTACAATTGGTTTATTTCCTTTCACCGTCCTGCCGCTACAGACGAACAAAATTCAGAATATAATGAAATAGTGGTCATCATAGCTGCTAAATAGGTTTAGATGCTGGCATGAACATGACTCCCAATAGGTTAAATGGTAAACAACAGATGTACAAGGAATAAGTTGCACGTGCGTTTCACAACATGAAAACAACCCCCACTACCATGCTATAAAAAGACAATTCATTTCTGAGTTACCCGAAATACTGGGCATGGTACTGATGAGGAACGTAACCCTACGGGTGTGCTCCCCAAATGTCCATGCCGAGCTCAAATCGGACCACCGACTGGTAATGCTCCTCATGAGTCCTCCGGCCAACATTCGACTCTTCTGATTCGCCCATTCACAATCGTATTCCTGACGTGATAAGGACTGCTCCAAGGAGGTACCGGCTACAGACGACTACCTCTGGAAACCTGATTACGTAAGGAGGAAAAGAACGTAGACGCTAGCGAACGATCACTATCCCCTTGAACATACGTAAAGGATCGCATCGCGGATACCCGAGGCAACCGAAAGGGGAAAGGTTCTAAAAGAGTGACATTACGCTACGTCACAAGAGCGAAATCTCATAAAACTAAACAACAGACAAACGACATGTTCCCCCGAACCCAACTTGACAATAATATAGCATTCTTAGATGTGAAGAAAACTAAATATCTAGTATCTAATTTAGAAACCCAATATACACCCAACACGCTTAAGTTAAGGTAGGTCACCTCGAGAAGATAAACACCGAAGTTAAACGCATAGCGTCCACACTGGCCACCAAATCTCTCTCGCCAGTTACATCTGACGACTAAACGTTGGTCAAACAACTGCCAAATAAAATGTCGCCCGGATCTGATAGCATATCCAACAGACTAATTAAGTACGGCCTCCCATCTCCCCACCTTCTACTCTTGTTCGTCGCTAATTCCAACACGGCGCAGCCCCTCGCCAAATCCAAACAGATGGAAAAAAGACGTGGTTATTGGTATTACTTTATTGTTTATTGATAAAAACAAATCCGACCCCTCTAGTTATAGCCTCATCAGTCAAATTAAGACAGAGTCTTAGCTCCTACTTAGCGACTCATTCCCTCCCTATTAAAGGAGTTTATCCACTCATGCAAGTCCTTTCGATGGGATTGGGGTGTTATTTGTAGTCGCCGCTTATCGTGCGGTGAAGCTGTAAAGGCCACCTTTCCAGCTATAACTTTAGAATAGTTCGAAAAAAATCTGAAAATCAGTATAATCGTTATACATAGATAGAGATTATTGATAGATACCGATATTTATTTTATGTACCGAACTACTGTATGATATTAATAAATTAAAATACATTGAATTCTAATCAACAGCAACACGATGCGCTATTGATGTTATCTAAATACTAAACAGTATACACATCAAACACGAATAGGGTTCTTATCACGGCTGTCACAAATAGTTATTTACAGTATACTTACACTGCGATAAAATATAGTTATTTAATACTGACTTTACCAATATATAACGTACATCGTTATATGTACATCTAGGAGTTACCTCTTGTAACCGACTTTAAAGATGGGATAAGGATCTCAATTATTTTGTATTTATTTTGTGCTTGTTAACATTGACTAACAGAACTCTAAGATGACTAAGGTATTTTCATTTTCTCATATCAATTTTCATGAAACACGACTCTCTTTCCGCAAGAGTAAAATATTAGGTAATTATTTCATGCCAGTTACAAGTTTACTGTAAAGTTAAGTATTTGCTGTAATCGGCTGTTACGTCATGCCGGTGTTGAAAAGGAGTGAAGAACATACTGCATCACACTACGAATAATTATGTAACAAGTAGTTTATTATGGAAGGATTTTATTAAGTCAATAATTTTACTATGTACATACATCACTATTAGGTAGCTTATTTTAATCACAGATCATTTATGCAGCAGGCTATTAGATAATATTGACGTCATAAGTTAGTAAGTACTAATATAATAACTATTATATAATGTAGCTCCAAACAAATACGTAAATTAAATATTGTCAATCTAAATCATTTGTAAAGATCGTATGGTCTTCATATTTATCTTTAGTAATACTCATTATCATCATAGTAATCAGTATATGTTATATACATCTGTTAATAAGGTGATAATATATTTGTAACATAACTAATACATGCAGACTTTTATTATGCCAGGTACCATAATTAGTTAGGTACATGATATGATTTTAGCATTATGTAATTAATGTAATAGAAATATAAGTAATCTAAACTTTAAAAAAACTTAATATTCTTTATTCTACAGCTCATTCAGTAAGCATATTTATCAGAACACAAGAGGACATATTTAAGATGTTTAGTGAATAAAATATTTCATAGGACTAAAATGACATTAATAAGGGATATGCGAAGCAGAGTGTAATAAACTTTACAATTTATTCACCTTATTCAACGCCCCAATTTCAGTTCTACCGAATTCACCATGTTTCAAAAAGTCATCTAATGCCTTTTTAGCGTGAGGACTAATCAATGATCCAGGATACACGGTATTAAATCCCTGAAATTATTTAGATGCATTAAATCACGAAAATAAGATTTCTATTAAATGAATATTAAAAAGCATTAGATAAATAAAAATAACAAAATTATTGAAAACAACATAGGTACTACAACGTTATAAGAGTCTTTGAATTAGAAATACATGGATAATGTAAAAGTGTCAGTACTTTTAAATATTTACCTTATCCAAAGCAAAAATTTTAGCACCCTCTCCACCTAACAATGAATGTGGTGAATCTGTTAATACTTTATGAGCTATACTTATAGGATGCAAAAAATCCTTTACTAAAGTTACTGCGCCAACATCAAGATTTTTACCACACATAATGCTTGCTTCCATTTCTACCTCTCCACGTAGATTTAGTACAGATCCATATCCTAAAAATATATTTACTAATTAGAACATTTCCGGAATATTCATTTTGATTTTGTTTCCAGATGTGGCTTTCGGATACTACTTCGATTTAGTCATACTAGCTTACAAATATTAGATGAATCTATGAACAACGATGAACGATAAACTACCAACATTCAGATATATCTTAATCAGAATTAAAGGTTGATAATATATTTGAAATACCAAAATTACATGTTATTAGTTAAAAACTTTGTCTTATGCATAGGACATTTACCAAGAAATAATTCAGTACCAAAAATTATTTAGAAGAAATTAATGTAATTTTTCCTATCATTTATATTTTATATTTCGTTACTAACTTTATAATAAGCGTTGTTTGTAACAGTTGTTCTAAATAATTTTAAGCAGTCGCGACTGTATCTAACTACCTACGCTTACCTGCATTAAAATATTCATCTTTCTCCATTGAAACAACAGCGGCTTCAACTGCATCTAACGCGCTGCCACCTTTTGCTAATATTTCATGTCCAGCAATAGCAGCCTTCTTTGAACCATCTAATTTACCCTTTACTCGACTTGTAGGAATATCACCGGCGCCGCCGTGAACTATTATTATTGGGTTCATTCTTAGCTAAACAAACGATAAATAGTAATTTTAAATAAATAATCTACTTACTAACACAAACATGATAATCTAATCGAGCAACAAAATGACTTTATTCTTGCCTCTAAACAAAATTATTGAATAAAAATACTTAGTATATTCTGATAAAAATGATGATATCCTCGTTGACTAAGTATCTAAACCTAGAACTTTACGATCGATAAAAAATATTTAGGAACTATCTTACTAATATTATAAAGACTATACGCAGAAGTTTGTGAATGTGGATGGATACATGAATATTTGTTACTTTTTCACACAATAACTACTTAATGGTTTAAAAAATTACAATAACATAGCTTATACATCAGAATAACATAAGGTATTAAATGAATGTGTTACGAGTATATACGGCCTCCTCACTTATTACGATTTTATAATAGTAGTTGTTGTCAAAATACTGATTGACATTATTGTAAATATATTATAAAAAAGGACAATACAATTATTCTGCTGCAAACATATATATTATAAACATATCATCTCACCATCTCAACAAAAGAACCCCACCACAACATCTGGCGACCGTGACAGGACTAATTTGTTGAGATTAAAAAAATCAAGAACTAATTTACGCCGACTATTCACAAAGACTGGGAACCAGTTATCGGAGTTATTAAAGGAACCCATACCAAATACTGCTGAAATAAAGGTGTGTCATTCACTATTTAAAAGTAAAGCAGATGAACTATTTAAAATAGACAAAGATATTTACAACGAATAGGTGAATTACGACGAAACAAATGAAGAAGAATTTTACGCAGATTGTGAAACGGCCGATGAATTTTTGATTAAATGAATTACCCTAGATAATATGTACCAAGAACTAATACAACAGCAGAATAAACATCAACTTGCCTCTCAGTTACCAGTCGTATCACCTGAGAGACAGGATATAAGTCCAATAACTTCAAGTAGAGATGACAATGAACAGAGTGTGAATAATTATAAATGTACGAGAATTCTAAAGAATTCACACGATGAGGGTGTCAGTAGAGACTCGATAAATAAAGAAAGAGATGAAAGAGTCGAGTTAGTCATGTCAGGTTTTAAAAGTTATATAAAAGAAGTGAGTGAACGGACAATATCATATATTTCATCGGGTATGAGTAAAAAATATGAAGAAGATAAAAAGATACAAAAAGACATAAGGAAAAATTCTTTGAGGTATTAAAAGATTACTTACGACTGCAAACAAAGGAAGGAAGAACAAAAACTAGATACAATTTTGACATACTATGATTATGAAGAAGTGGAAAATAAGTGAGTAATGATTATACAAAGAGAATATTTTCAAGTGAATGACGAGTTTAAGAAATTGAAAAACAAGACTATTTTTACAGATGAAAAGGGTATGATAAGAATGAAAACTAAACTAATTCTGAGCCAAGAAGAAAATAGATATATTAGATGTTTAATAATATTGCCATGGAGCAGTGTAATTCTATTTCGTCTAGTTCAAGTCAAGCAGCTGGAAATTTAAGCCACCGGACCCTACTTGATGGAGGGGAAGTTGGGTGGAAAGTTGGTACGCTTGGTGGGAAAGATGGTACCCCTGGTGGGACGGGATAGAGAGAGTAGGCAAAATAAGATAAACTCTAATGTATTCAAAGCTCATTTACTGTAGGCTACCTGAAGAGCACTTCATATCTGTGGGAGGATGTTACGAGTATATACGGCCTCCTCACCGATTACGATTTTATAATAGTTTAGTTGTCAAATATAGATTGACATTATTGTAAATATATTAAAAGAAAAGATAATAGAATTATTCTGCTGCAAACATACATATTATTTATTAGTAAACATATCATCTCACATATCATCTCAACAAATAAGAACCCCATCACAACAGAATGGATACGGGAAGCAAATACACAGAATGAATGTAATTTATTTAGATGTTTTTATATTTAAGTTAATAAACACACTTAAAGTGATCGCATCGAAATCTCGAAACATTTCAATTTAATGTAATAATTAAAAAATCTCATTTTTATTTAAAACATATCCTTCTATGTAACTAATACTTAAAGAATGGTACCAGTGTTAAATAAATCTACTACAAAACTGCTACATTTATTCCCAATGTGCTTTTAAAGATTCCAGATATATTTTTAACCGGTATCAATTTTTCAGTGTAAGTTTAATATGGGGAAAGTTCGCTTCATAAACCTTCAATAAGTAATAATTCAGAAAATTTTAAATTATAAGTTTTAGAAACTTGTTACGAAAATGACTCACTCTCTATTCTATACAGCCGTAAAATCAAGTATCTACATGAATTCTATCCTACTCATCTAAAAAAAAACTATTAACCTTTAACTAGGCCAAAGTCACTGACCGTATGTCACACTTACCACAAATTATGTTATGTTATAGACTTGTCCACTCATCATCGCAGCCTGGAAGACGTCCACTGCTGGACATAGGCCTCCCCCAAAGATCTCCACGACGATCGGTCCTGCGCTGACTTGTCCACTAATATACTGCAATAGCTAATATCTTTACAGCACTAACACTGTTACCCTATGAGATTACTATACAACACACATACTACTTCTCTTTAACTCTGTATGATTTATTTATTTTCCTTTTTTCGATTTTTACATTTCACATTTCGTTCATTCTTTATTCGATTGGTTTGAAATTATTTCATTCATTCACTAATTTGGGTTTCCATCTTGTCGACTGTCTCCTAAACTAGGTAAAAAATAGAGTAATGCAATATAATTCTTATTACTAATTTTAGGTTAACAGGTGCATTACTTACAAAAAAATTTGTATGTACTTTATTTGAATAAAGTCTTATTAATCGCGTTTTTCATATTTGACTTTTATTTGTTTGACAACTAGTTAAACCGAGCTAAAATCTAGTTTTAAAAAGCTAACACCCAGAGCCTTAAAGAAACACTATTAAAAATTGAACTGAATTAAAAATGGTGGAATATAATTCTATTCAATGGAATGTGTATTTTTGTTAATTGTATCATCTTGTTTGTGATGTATAACCAGAAAAAATAATAATATGACAACTCCTGTTTCCAATCGCAAATATGGAGCACAAAAGATACGGCTTACAAGTAAGTAACAGCTGTTTGAATGTTTGCTGTTTCCGCGACTTCATTTGGTTTTCGAGTTTTACATTCTACTAACAATTCATTCTTCTTTTTAGTTCTATGCGCAAGAAACTTGGCTCGAAGAGATCTTTTCCGTAAGTTTTTTCTCCTAATTATTTGTGTTTATCACAGTATACAAAGTTATCTTCAAGGTTTTTATACTGCCCAATTGAAACTTTAATTGCGACAGTCTAAACACTGTGTAGTGAAATGAGCTGTTATTACTAGTATTATCAATGGGCAACAAATATTCCTTTTTTTATTTCTATATACAAATTGTATATTATTGGTACGTAAAAAAATATTTCTAAGATTGTATTGTGTACAATATATGACTGATTAATAACTGCTGCAGGTTTACCCGATCCCTTCGCCAAAATATCAGTAGATGGAAGTGGACAAGTTTATTCAACCAATTCAGTAAAAGCTACACTTGATCCCAAGTGGAATACACACTATGATTTGTACCTGACGAAAGGCGATGGAATTACAATAAGGTAAGGATTATGATATATTCAAAGTGATGTGTACAGAGTCATTTTAATCTGTTACGAACATCAATATTTTTTATTACTTCTTATCCTTACTGATCAGTTTAGATAGCTACTTAATTTGAGGAAAACTGGGAAAACTCAACTCTCAACTGATAATTTTTTATAGTGTTCTAAGAAAAGCTAATTGGTAACTAGTTTACAGTTAAGAAGAGTAATATGGCCAACAACAAACAGTCCCACACATTATAGTTCTTGCTTATTTTCATGAGATCACATTATTTCTTCTTGAATAATTTAAATGTACATTTGCATATAATGATATGAATATTCATGTGATTTAATTGCCATTTCAGTATATGGAATCAGCGAAAAATTCACAAGAGACAAGGATCAGGGTTCCTCGGATGTGTGTGCATACAACCATCTACAGTACATAAATTAAAGGATACAGGCTGTAAGTTAACTTTTAATTTTTAAACTATTCATTGACTGGTATAACATAATTATTCTTAAATTAAAAATATTATTTTCTCTTCTAATTAATTGGCTCTCCACATTACTTGAGAGTTTGAGCAATAGCTGGGATAATAGCTGTGATATTAAATTTACTGAATACAATGTCTTGTGATAAATTTATTATATACCATATTTGGAAAACCAGCCTAGGTTTATACCCATAATTATAAAGATAAGAGAGATAATATAGAGATCTATTCTGACATCTAATTATTCAATCATCCATAGTATTATCCAGTACACATTTGGCTGCAAAAACGAATATATATACTAATGGGTTCGAATATACACATGTTAATCCTTACTTGAACTAGTATAAGTAATTTAAAAATCTGAGCCTTGTTTTCTAAGTCACTTACAAAGACTATTTAAAAATTTAATAGTTACATTCCTCTTTGATTGACATATAAAGACATTCATTCATATTCATGCATTCATAGCTGCAAATTATTGCTAGTAAATCATAATTGAAGTGAAAGGTGTGTAATAGATTTATAGCAATCAATTGATATTGCCAGTTATGTAGTTCTATATTGTGCACAGTTTATCATTATTGTCTTTAGTCATGCAACAAAATTTAATACTGGAAAGACATTAAAATTTAACTATAACATCTAAAATACATATTTTTAATGTATAAAAATTTTTATGTAAAAATCAAGTATTATTTGATTGTTTATATTTTTTGTGTGACCCTACAGTTCATACAAGTACAGTATGATTAAATAAATAAATATAAATAACCCTGGACAATATAAACGGCGCCATCTAGCCCTCAGTAAGCAGAGCTTGTGTGTGTACTGTACTACTGATATAAATACAAAGATTTTTTTTTAATTATATACATAGAAAACAACCACACCAATACACACAACCATACTTGTGAATATAAATGTTTGCACTGTGTGAAGCATCACATTCACAATCATCTGAAGGAAAGCGGTGTGCTAAACTGCTATACCAGCTAGGCTGACAATTGATTTTGTCAACACATAGAACTTGTGTTTGAAAATCACTTTCACTAAAATTAACTAACAGAATGTATACAACCTTCCATCTATTGTAAAGGAATGTATAAGATTAAGTATGTGTACATATTGATGTGATAGAGAGATGTGTATTATCATATTATTTTCTTTGTGGCAGCATACAAAGAAACCACATTCTAAATTTGAATTTGCAGACCAGTGTTTAGAGTTATCTGAGGACAGTTCTCTGGAAACTTGTGGTGTACGTGGGCAAGTGATAGTATCCCTCTTATCCCGTGATGGTGCTCGAGGCGAACCAGCTTCGGCGGCCGGTGAAGGCTCCCCTTTGGCAGTGGTGGGGCCCGCCGGCGACGTCCGATCACCCAGAGATCCGCCAGTCATCCCAAACACAAATCAGTCACCTTTGCCACAATTTTGGGAAGAGAAATTTACTTCTTCTGGGAGGTAATATTAGAGTCACAAAAGAAACAATACTATCGTGTTTATATACATTATTTTCTATATATTTTTTTTGTGTGTTGTAGACCTTATTATGCAAACCATGCCCGTCGTTGCACACAATGGGACCGCCCTACATCAGACGGTCCCGGCCCGGTGACGACGCCGGAGTCCTCACCGCCTTCTCCACCTAATGGTATATTACCAGTTACGTCATCATCACCAGCTGCCTTGGGTTCACCAGCCTCACCTTCATCGCCAGTGTCAGACACAGATGTCAATCATGCAACCTCAATTTCATTAAGGTAATTTCAAAGAGGTGTTAAACTTATTTTTAATGGATTTTAAATTATTTAGATATATTATCATATATATATATTAATTATTTAGATATATTATAGATTTTAGATATATTATCATATTTGAAATCAGGATTTAATGTAAATAGAATTATTGAAGAAAAATTTTTTACACACATTCATATTTAACTGTAACATACAGTAGAACTATGTATTATCCATTATATTTATACTATTTTTATCTGTCTTTACTTCCTTTACCAACAAATATAAGTCTAAAAGTCACTATTTTTTAAAGGTTTTTAAATAGAGTTTTGTATAACCATTTTTATTCAAAGTATATTATTCTGTATGCTAATGTCATGCAACTGATTTTCAGACCTGAACCGCAACCTCAGACGGCTGTCCGACCTCGCCCAGCGCCAGCTATAGCATCACCTGTTACCCCTAGTACACCATCCAATCCAACGACGCCAAGTACTCCTGTAGCTGCTACCGACCTTCCAGCTGGATATGGTAATACTTGTGCATTATGATTTATTATAATATATATGGTAATAGCTTCGATGTTTTGCAAAGACTTATAAATTTTTATTTTTATTTAATTTCTGATTATACATTTTACCAAGGTAGCATTAGTAAAAAAATATTAGCTTTCTGCACTCCTTTACTATTCAGAACAAGTAGATTATTTTATAAAGTGAGTTTGGTTTTATATAGAGAAGGAGTGCAGAATGCTAATATTTTTTTACAATTACAGAACTTTAACAATGTTAAAACTTATAATTTCAATTATTTATAGTCGATTTTGAAACTCTGCTGGACCACTAGATTACTACTACTATTTATTACTCGATTCCACTTTAATGATAGAGAGTACACCCTCGAGTCCTCGAGGAACAAAATATATAAAACAAATTGGTTCCGTTTCGTCGACAGAAATGCGCACGACGGCGCAAGGTCAGGTGTACTTCTACAACGCGGCGACCGGCGCGTCCACGTGGCACGACCCTCGGGTCCCGCCCCACCTGCGGCACGCGGCGGCGGCGGCGGGCCCGCTGCCGCCCGGCTGGGAGATGCGGCACTCGCCCTCCGGGCGGCTCTACTTCGTCGATCACAATAACCGCACCACGCAGTTTACGGACCCCCGGCTCGCTCTCTCCGCGAGATTCGTGAATAATGTGAGTGAAACATCGTTTTACATTAAGAATACTATTTGCATTGTCTACTATTAGTGGGATGATAAGCTTACCCTGAATTGGTAATTAAACTGCACCGGTTATAGAAAGTAAAGCTGATTATAATATAATTAAATATAAATGTCCTGTAAATCTTTACAGTAGCTTTGTATACATTCACACAGTTTAAACTGCTTTCCATTTGGAGACAACAAATATAACAAAAGATATAAAAGGTAAATTTTGTTTAAATACAGTAAGACAAGATATTTCTAATTTAAAATATTAGTAGTTTCGTTTATTAGTGTTTCTATAATCTGTGACAAGTGCCTACCATACATTTAATATTCTACATTTTGGATTTAAATTTAAAAAATGTTTGGGGAATCTGTAAATAATACCGGTGTATGGGTTACATTAACAGCACAATCCGGGGCCAGTGGAGACGGGCCCAGTTGCGAGCGAGCCCGCAGAGGCAGAAACGTTGCCCAAATACAAGCGCGACCTCGCCGCTAAAGCTCGCGCGCTACGAGCCGAGCTGCAAGCGCTGCAACCGCATACGGGCCACTGTCGGATAGAGGTATCTCCATTGAGTTCTTGTTGTAGTTTTAGTTTTATATATATGCATATAGGTAAATAGAAAATAGAAGAAAAACACTAGGAATACTGAGATTTATGTAAGACGATTGTCAAGAAGTTGAAGTATAAACAAGATTGTACAATAAAAGAACTATAAAAAATACATTGAATCTGATTAGCCAGTACAGTATGCATACAACAGTTGTTAAGACTCAATTGTGCTCAGGTAAAGTTAAATAAAAAACTGGTAAAAATAAAAGCTATTTCATAAAAATTCGTTGACGAGTTTTGGAATTTATACTAGACAAACATCGAGGCGCGAGTTTTTTTTAATATTTATTTATATAATAGTGGTTTTACGTGCTTTAATGGTTTACGCTAGTCAGGCATGAGTAAAGGATGAAACAGAGGCTATCATGACAAACATTTACCGCATTGTTTTCAATCTGTATGTTAACTGCATATAATCTTCCATGGCTAGGTATCACGTAACGAAGTACTGGAAGAATCGTACCGGCTCGTGATGAAGCTACGAGGCAAGGAACTTCGCAAACGATTATTGGTGAAGTTCCGCGGCGAAGAGGGACTCGACTACGGTGGCGTGGCGCGGGAATGGCTGCACTTATTAGGCAGGGAGCTATTCAACCCACAGTACGGACTGTTTCAGTATGCAAATGCTGGAGATGATCGATATGCTTTACAAATAAATGCAGATTCTGGGGTAAGTTACATATATAAATTTTATATGATTAGCATAAAACATTAAGGTTAATTTAGTTAATTATATGTTACTATTTTTATTTACTTATATAATATTAATTACAGTTAAGCTAATTTATGTGGTTTATATTTTTTATCCAGTTCAATATAGCTGGACGTCTGCTCTGTCCATAACTTATATTCTAATGATAATCAGATATGGATAACTTTATACATTGATTTCTGATATAATCAGGCACAACAAATATATAACATAAATAACATTAGGAAATTTTTGTTCTGCAGTAATATATAGATGTTATCCTTACTTCCTTACTAATATTATAAATGCGAAAGTAACTCTGTCTGTCTGTCTGTCTGTCTGTCTCGCTTTCACGCCAAAACTATTGAACCGATTTAAATGGAATTTAGTACGCAGATAGTCTAGACGCAGAGGAAGGACATAGGCTACTTTTTAATGCGTAAAAGGGGTTGTAAGGGGTTCAAAATGGAAATACAAGGTTATCTTTATGCGGTTGAATACTTATTCGTCATCTTTTCATTTCACTATCTAACAACCAATCAACACTTCGCGTGGTTTTGCGCCATTCGCCATCTTTTCATTTCACTAGCTAACAACCAATCAAAACATCGCGTGCGTATGCGCCAATAAGGTATCCATCACAGAGAACAAAACCACAGATAACATAATGTAAAACGAAAGATCTTGCCGGAAACATGACGTTGACGTTTAGCGAAAATATTGTTTTTGACACTTTTTTATGATAAAAATCGTATATCGTGTGTATGTGTTTTTTTTCTTTAAACTTGAAATTGGCCGATTGCGAGACAAATTTGGCCATTTTTTTTATTAATTTGTTTTACGGCTCTGGATACAAGTCCTGTTTAGCCCAACTTAAAGTTTTACAATATAAATTACAAAAATTAAAGTCAATGTCAAATGTCAAATAATAATAAATGTCAAATGTTGTTTCTCTGTTCTGACGAACTTATTAAAAAAAAACTTAATAACAATCACAATTTCTTCACATTCTATTATTTACATTTTTTAAAGAATATTGTGGTGTGGCACTATACGAAATTAAATTATTTACCCATTTTTGTAGGTTATACAGAAATAATGTGTGGGTGTTTATTTAAAAAGCATTAACAAAAAGTTAATAAAGTATAGGTATTAATAAATATATGGTTGTTGTATCAAAATAGAATTTTCTTATTTTTCACTAAAATAAAAACTAACTGTCTTTTTTATAAAATAAATGACCCTTTCATTGTGTCATATATTATGAAACTATTTAAATTATTTAGCTGATTGTAAGAAACAAAATGTTGGTTTGTAGATTAATACTGTAAAATTACTATTTGTACGGAAACGATAAAAATATATTTTTGTGCTGCGACAAAAACTAATATTATAAATGCGAAAGTAACTCTGTCTGTCTGTCTCGCTTTCACGCCAAAACTACTGAACCTATTTGAATGAAATTTGGTATACAGTTAGTCTAGACCCTGAGAACGGACATAGGCTACTTTTTAATGCGAAAAAAGGGTTGTAAGGGGTTAAAAGAGGGGTGAAAGATTGTATGGAAGAATCGTTATTTTTGAAGCTAGAAGCTTGAAACTTATTTTTGAGGCTGTTGATTAAATATAAATAAAAATGACATTCAATGTTTGTAAAAAATTACTCTTAAGGGGGTAAAATAAAATAGGGGATGCAAATTTTTATGTAAATTCGACATTTTTGAAGCTAGAAGCTTGAAACTTATTGTTGAGACTGTTGATTAAATATAAATACATATGACATTCATTGTTTGTAAAAAATACCCTTAAGTGGGTAAAATAAAATAGGGGATGCAAGTTTTTATGTAAACACGTCATTTTTGAAGCTAGAAGCTTGAAACTGATTGTTGAGACTGTTGATTAAATATAAATAAAAATGACATTCAATGTTTGTAAAAAATTACCCTTAAGGGGGTAAAATAAAATAGGTGATGCAAATTTTTATGTAAAATCGTCATTTTTTAAGCTAGAGGCTTGAAACTTATTTTTGAGGCTGTTGATTAAATATAAATAAATATGACATTCATTGTTTGTAAAAAAATTTAAGGGGGCAAAATAAAATAGGGGATGATAGTTATTATGTAAATTCGTAATTTTTGAAACTAGAACGATGAAACTATTTTCATTGGTTCTTTTGGGGTAGATTTTTAAATACCCCACTAATGTTATAACTGTGAAAGTAAGTCTGTTTGTCTTTCTGTCAGTCTTACGCTCCAAAACAAAACAAAAATTTAAATGAAATTTAAAAAATTTAAACACAGTTAGTTTACACCCGGACAAAGAATATAGGGTACTTTTGAATGTGAAAAAAGGATTGTAAGGGGGTTGCAATGGTACGCTGTATGGAAGAATCGTCATTTTTTAAAACTAGAAGTTTGAGACTCATTTTTAGACATTCAATGTTTGTAAAATTTTTACTCTTAGGGGGAGGGGGGGAAGTAAAATAAAATAGGGAATGAAAGTTATTGTGGAAATTTGCTGTTTGTGTGGTTGTGGAAGCTAGAACGATTAAACTTTTTTCTTTGTCTTTTTAGAGTTAGTTTATTAAATACCCTACTGATATTATACATGTGAAAGTAACTTTGTCTGTCTGTTTGTCTCGCTTACACGCCAAAAATATTGAACCGATTTAAATTGAAATTTGAAACAGACATAGATAGACTAGATGAGAAAGGTAATAGGTTACTTTTTAATGTGAAAAAGGGTTGCAAGAGGATTGAAAGGGTAGATCCAAGGTCATATAGATATATCGTCATGTTTAAAGCTAGAAGCTTGAAATTTATTTTTTAGTCTATTGATTAAATATTTATTTTTATTTTTTATCATTTTTTAAGCTAAAATGATGAAACTTATTTATTTGACTTATATTGTGTTAATTGAGTTAAATATTTTTTCATTATTTACGCGGACGAAGTCGCGGGTACAGCTAGTAATTACATAAATAAAAGTTAAATTGAGTTATTTTATATTTTAGCTGAAAGTGAACATAATAATTTTAAGAATACTACTTTTTTTTCAGGTGAACCCAGAGCATCTATCCTACTTTCACTTTGCTGGTCGTATACTTGGTGTGGCCCTGTTCCACGGACATCAGTTAGATGCAGCATTCACGGCGCCATTTTATAAACAGCTGTTAGGCAGGGCGATCACTCTTCGAGACATTCGTGACGTAGATCCTGAACTGCATCGCTCACTTTCTTGGATGTTGTAAGTATGAATTGTTACTTTTAAGTATAAACTGAATTAAATGCAGATATTAGGTAAGTTTGAATATATTATCTGCCATAATTGGCCACATTATTATTAGTCAACTTCAAAAGTAAGTAAATCATATGTAAAAAGCGAATTACTTGTTAAGCTAATTCATTAAAATTCTACTGTATTTTTGCATATGTTTCGACAAAGTGCTTCTCCACTTCTGATTTAAATTAACATTATTATTAACATTATTTTTTGTAATATAAAGGAAATTCTCTTCTCTACTAATTTTGTTTAAACTCAAGACAATTGGAAATCCCATCATGCAGATAAAAAATTCGATAAGATTAATTAATTTTTTTCTGGCAATAACCAATGAATATTTTTTGTTTTTGTTTATATTTACGTAACAATTTAGTTTAAATTAACTAGTTATATTTATTTTTACATTTCGTAAAAATTTAAAATATAAACTTTGTCTAAATATAAATTATTTTTTTTGCATTCCAGAGAGAACAGTATAGCAGGCGTGATAGATACAACTTTCTCAGTGGAATGCTCGTCATTCGGTGCGGTGCGCAGCGTGGAGCTGCGGCCGGGTGGGGCTAACGAACAGGTAACGGATGTAAATAAACGCGAATACGTCCGCCTGTACGTAGCGCATAGATTCACAAGAGGCGCCGAACGGCAATGGCTTGCCTTGCAACGCGGCCTGGCCGATATTATACCTCCACAGCTGTTACGGCCCCTTTCACCGAGAGACCTACAGCCGCTACTCGCCGGTCGGTCAGACCTCGATCCCGTAGACTGGCGACGTCATACTCGCCTCAAACACGTCTCACCAGACGCACCGATAGTCGGCTGGTTCTGGGAAATTGTGGAAGACTTTGATGCAGAAATGCGAGCTAGATTGCTACAGTTTGTGACTGGGTCCCGCCGGGTCCCACTGAACGGTTTTCGAGCGCTGCAAGGCTCTACAGGTGCGGCTGCTCCGAGGTTCTTCACGCTACATTTAGTCGCAGACGCATCGCCAGACTCGCTTCCGAAAGCGCATACCTGTTTCAACCGTCTTGACCTACCGCCCTATCCCACGAAGGAGCGTTTGCATGACAAACTAAAACAAGCGGTCCTCGAGACTGCTGGCTTCGCTGTCGAATGACATGAGAACTTGATAAGTGTCATGGGAATGAATTGGTTGTGTTCAACGTTGATTAGCCATTTAAAAATATTTTTGGCCACTAAAAAGTATACTTATACAAAATATATCGACAGTTAACCCCCTGCAGATCGATTTTATTTACTTCAAATGTATGCGGGGTTTTCTTCGTGAATTATATTTATAGGAAACTGTTTTTTGTAAATAACGCCGCAATTGTTACTTTTAAGCGTATTTTTTATCGCTCTGTTAATTTATTTTAACAGCTAGTGCTACTTGTCTAATGGTGAACAAATTTCTATATTTCCGAGATTGCGGAAACGCTAAAAACATTTAAAGTTATATTTATTCATTTTACAATGAAGGCCAGAAAATTAACTGAATGTAATGTAATATAAAATATATGACATTATGTACGCCATAAAAATATCTGCAATTATTTTTAAATTTAATATTTATACATATTAATTTGTTTACACAGAGACCGAGGTTATCGTGTATAGAAATCAATAATTAAACATAAACATTGAAAGTTTCTGCAGCAATCCGTCCGGATTATTAGAAAAGTGTACATTTGTAAAATAATAAAAAAAACTCCTGTAAACCTTAAGCAAAGGCTACAAGTATGAGACTGATAGATGTTTGGTAAAGAAATCATGACAAAAAGTTCTTAACTTTACAAAAACAACAGGCGTGTAAATATTGTCATTCTATATAAAATATTTAACATCTTGTAATACTTTTTGTATTTTTAACCTACTATTATTTTAATACTACGGTGTCGGTAGCACACTCGTTTCTAAATCGCATTTCACCAGATATGTACAAGCAAGCTCAAGTAATTTTACGATTAGTAAACTTACTCATAATCATTACTATGATGTAAATCTAATTTAAGGTAAATCAGCAGCTACACATTTTAAATTTAAATATAAACTACATAAATTACTGAACGCAGCATTTCCACCTATACTAAAACTAATACTATTTATGTTGTTGGAAATTATGTAAGAGATATTGTTGTGAATCTACCAATTTGATATTAATATGTATTCTTGTTTATTCCAGTTAAAGCATAACAACTGAGCTTCCCATTACGTTATTTTATTTTTTACATCTAATCTTAACTGACTGTTACTTTAAATCAACGAATTTAGTATAGATCTCTATAATGCAGTCGCCAAGGGTACAGTGCTTGTGTTCAAATCTTAAACCAGTGTATATAATATTTTCTAAATTCTACTAATACAGTTCTCTATGTGGGTTATCTAATTCTCTAATACTTTGTAATCTGGTTTTTCATAACACTGGGTATCCTTATTTGGGGACCAGCCAACTGGATTGTTTGGCACGTTATTGTAATAATATTGTATGAGTAGTTTTGTACAAATTCTCTGTGCAATATGTTGCAGATAAGATGTTAATTTGACGGCTTTGTTGGTATAGCAGTTTAGCATACCGCTTTACTTATAATGGTTGCGGGTTCGATTCCTCGCACATTACATTAATGACTATAATTGTTTCTATTGGTCTGGGTATTTTCTGTATATTATGTATGTATTTACAAAAAATGTATTAAATTTTTGTATCAATTGTCTACACATAACAGAAGCTTAGCTTAGCTTGGGATTAATTGGCCCTGTGTGAATTATTTGGAGTTATTATTTAGACCTTGGTGGTATAGTGGTTTAACACCACTTTCACACACCGATGGTCACGAGTTCCATTCCCGCGGAACGCAAACATTTATATTCACATATTTATAGGCACTACTATTTGTAACATACATACATTACATAATATATGTCATTGTGTGTCATTGTATGTAAATGACACATTACAGATCCAAATTCATAAATGTTCTTACTGCAACACATTGTGAATTTATTATTTTTGGTACAAAATGTCTATAATTGTTTTAAGAAGTATTAAAACTAGAAGGAAATACTTGGAATGTACAGACATATATTCACTGTCTGAATTGTAAGTAATTATTACTATTTTAAAATTATATTTTATTGAATTTACTACAAATTAATGCTTTAAAGTTGTATATAGTTAATTCCAAGTATTTCCAAAAATGTTAGTGAGATATAGAAGTGATTTAATTAAAAAATAATGTAATATTCATTCATGTTTCTTTATTAGAGACATGTTCACTATAATTTTATGAATGCAATTGCTATACAAACTCCGGAATGTATTAATACTGAGATAAATGATATGTGCCTAAATAATATAATTTTATATAATACTAGCATAATATTCGACTTCGTCGTCGTCGAATTTGACTTTAAAATTAAAAGTTATATAATAAAGTAGCCCAAGTTACTCTTCATAACATTATATACCTATCAATAGTGATAGTCCAGCCCCATCAAAATCGGCCCAGCTCTTTCAGAGATTAGCAAAAATAGAGAGAACAGATAAAAAAAAATCTTTTTATATAAATACCATGTATACTATCATACCAATTTAGTGAAATGTTTATTTGAAATTACAAACACGTCAATTTTATTTATATGTGTAGATATTCTCCCAGCTCTCCACTGTCCGTGAAAGGTACTTTTGATTTGTTTATATTCCTTAAATTAGCTTTTGTGTCTGGTATCGCCTAATTCATTATTTCTTAAAAAGAAGCATGCCAGCAGCAAAATGTAGAAAAAATGTTCGTGTTAAAATATCACTGTCTTTTTTAATATATTTTACTTTAAACAAGTATTTTGTTAGATTTCGCAGAAACTTCACACCATAAAGACATATATGCTAATAGATGCTAATTCCAAATAATAGTTATAGGGATGGCAACCGTAATGTTATTTAGGCGTCTTGTTAGTTTATCTAGCATATTTTATTATGTATACTTTCACAATGCTCAAATATCTCTAATTTTTATTTAGACGTGTTTGATTTTTAATTCTATGTTTCTCATCAACGCTACATTATTTTATTGTAAATTGTAATCATTGGAGTTTGTTTACACAGATACTGATGTCACATCATGTACAATATATATACTTTGGTTTTACAAGGCGAGCATGTAATTTTGGTGCCTTAAGTATATATCAAGATATATGTTTACAGCCTACATCATTTATTTAATTATCAGGAATCTTCTCAACATCATATTTACATTAAGAGAATATATTATTCTTTTTTATTTATACATTGTCACTATATGCTATATTTACATCGAACAATTGTGTAAGATTTATTTTGTATTGTACACAAAAATGTATATATGAATTAACATTGATATTTAAAGTGCCTTTTCTCTAGTTGTAATTTATGACTGTTAGTTATACTTGATTTAGTATATATTATCCTTGTATTTAATGCTACAATAATATTTTTGCACAAAACTGATTTCTTATTTCTTCCTGTCCAATTTTCAAAGGTGTGTATTGGTTATTAATAGTGCAGTAGATTGTAAGATTGGAACTGCAGCAGCACTGGCAATAACTTCAACATCCCTGCCATGTGAATAATCAGAGGCTTCATAGGAAACAGCAACTCCAACATCCCCCACGGCTGGATCCTCTGTCAAGGGAGGCTGCCTAGATGCGAAGCTTGCCCCGGACAAACCTGTATGGTTTCCACCCTGTCCTGTGTCTACACGAGTTTTTCTTTGACGTCATCCTTAGCCTCGCGGATGGACAGCTGTAGAGCCTTCTTCTCCTTATACAGTTCGTGTAACTGTCTTTCCACGTCGGCAACGCGGCCCTGTTTCAGACGACGATATCTGGTGTATCTACGACGAGCAGCGATGCTATCCACCACCTCACCAGTATACTGGATACCTAGGAGGTCGAAAGCTGGCTCGGGGCATCGCTGAGTCAGATATATGCGACGGAGCCTCACCGAAACAACAACTTTGTCGGCCTCCAATGGCCACTCCGGTACTGGTCTGCCTATATAAAACATCCTTGGCTTCAATTAAAATAAATCATGTATTTCAAATACAAAATATTTTATGTACCTATTTGTATTTAAAACAAACTTATAGGGATGATGATTTGTGAAAGATGATGAAAGGATTGATGAACCATGTAAAAATAAAGTATTTGGTATTCTTCTTTCAGTATTTTAATAAAACCAATGTAATGTAATGCAAACTTTCCGACAATTGTCGGAAAGTTTGCATTACATTACATTAGCGGGCCTCACACCACAAGTCAAAAACACCAACACCAACCAACACACAAATGCGCAGCGCAGACTAACCATCGATCATAAATACAAGTCGTCCCACAGAGTACGGTAATATCATAGATTTTCTCGCAGCAGTCTTTACTCTTCATGGACTCAATTTAATTTAGGTGTTAGATCAAAGTAAATCTAGAGTACGTTTAAAATTTATAATATACATTGATTAAAAATTTAAAACATAATTAAAAAGTGATTAAAAATAAAAAATATAGTAAGTTTGGGGAAATCAAAATAAAGATCTGGCATCCAGAGCCGTTAAACAGATAAAAAAGTTATATTTTTGACAATAGTTGAACACCGAATAGATAGTCCTTATTCCCTCACTCATATAATACTTATTCTGTATCTTCTGTTCTGTCATTGAATAAACAGGTTTATGCACCATCGTTTGTACATGAAATTGACGACGTGAGTGAAAATAAACTAGTGATTATACATATATGCTCATACAATGAAGTTTAAAATTATCTTATGCTAAAAAGTGTTTATTTTATTTACGTGTAATTGTTACTATAACTATTGGTGATATTCAAGACAAAGTTTATTGTCTGAAGGCTTGACACACTACGCATTCTAATACGTAGGTTTTATTTTTCTTATTTTATCAAAGCTATGTTAAACTTTTCGTGAAGTGATAGTAGATATATTCGAATTTCTTCTTTGATTTCTTGTTATTATTCAAAATATTGCCACAATGCCCACAAGTGCAGTGTATCAGCCAACAACAGTGACATATGAGCAGCAACCGAACGACCAGAGATGGAATTGTCCTATGAGCTACTTCTCACGTCGTGTAACAAGTAGCCTCAACAGAGCAGTTTGTGTACGAATTGGATTATGCCTGCTGGGGAGTACACTATTCATCATAGGTAAGATATTTACTAAACATATAGAAATATCAACAAGCATCAATATACAAGTTTAATGACCTGTGTTTCTAATATATTTTGTGTCTTTGTTTTAAACTTATTTCTTTTAAAATACAGTAAGCATTGCTAAATGCAATATACAATACTATATATACATACATATACATATTACCATACCTGTCTCCCTTAGGAACACCTAATGCTTCAATTTACATCATTTTCTTTTAACATATCACCTTTGCTTTCTCTACATTTCTTATAAGAAATAGTATTATGAAATTTATGTATAATATTATTCATAAAGTATGAACACCAAATATTTATCTTAGTAATACATGCTCAATATTGTTAACTGTTACACATAAACTATATATTGATGAAAAGAATTTCCATCCACTTAAGTAGTTCTTAAACTTGGAAGACTTTAAAAACGGGCATAAGGATGTTATATTAGGACTTTTTACAATATTCATGATATAGAGTATTTAAATATTGAAAATACATGAATAGAAGAACTTGGTATTTTGAACATGCTTTTCAAATAAGAAGAAATTTTCCGAACCAGCCGATCCAAAATGCAATTTTTTAGTCACATAATTTAATAAACTTAATGGCACAAACTAATAAAATGTAATAAATAAGAGGTGAATTTGTACTATAGTATAACAGAACTGTGATAGTTAAATGATACAGATATAATTGTTTAACCTTCACAATACTATAATGAGGTGTTGTAATGATTATCATTAAGGAAATAATGATTTATAATTTAAATTACTATATAATTGAATGAAAATAAATAAGAATAGTTCAACATGAAATTGAATAATGCATATATTGAGGACATTTTAGCTTAAACCTTATCTTTAGAATAGAATATAGTGATAACAATATCTGTTGAGAGGAATTTGCAACATTTTAATATCAATTTATAACATAATAGCCTCTTTCTTGTCTAACTATATATTGAAAATACCTTTTGAGAATAATTAATATGATGTTTATAACTTTTGACTTTATGTTACGCCATAACTTTTCCAATTCTAAATCAATTTTCTATTATAAGAAAAGAAATATTCCCAAACTAAATGTATTTATATTGAATTATGTTTTTATGCAAAAATCTCACATTTATATACAGTCTTTAGCTAGATAGATTAGATAGCGAATGCTTTTAATTGACTGGTCCTAAAACATAAAATAAAACATTAGAGACAAAAACATACAATTTTATAAATCATTGTTAAATTTGTAAGTAAATTGTGTGCATATATTATGCTTGTTACGACTTTTGTTTCCTGCCTTCTAATATCAATAACATTTTAGCAGTGTAGTGGAACTTGCGTACATAGGTATATCATCATCACTCAATTAAGAATTCCACAGACTACTCAAACTCCTGTTGATATTCAATGCAAAGGTAGGAAGTTGTTTTTGTACACCTAACTTTTATTTAATTTGTAGTTTGAACTTACACATCCACAACAACTTGTTGATGTTTAATTTGAAGGCAAATTTTCGTAAGTTCAATAACAATATACATACTACCTACTAAAAATGTTTTGAACGAATTATCCACTATAACCTTTAATGCTTACAACTGGCCATATTCAGTTTCAGTAGTTAATATGGTGGCACATACAGCAATAAAGATAATGCATTCGTTTGTGTGTACCATGTGTACGCTAGCTAATGTACTATGGACTACCGTGTATCGATTACAATGAGCGGTGATGGTCGTGAATGGTGTCGGGTGTCCGGTGTTAGCGCGGCGCTACGGCCGACACTGAATGACTCACCCAGTGGCTGCGTGCTGCGTGATCTGATCACGATCTCACAGACCTACGAATTTATAGAATAGACATGCCTCGAGGAGTAATAAATAAAATCAGTAACAAATATAAATAATAATAAATTATATCAGCCAAATCGACCAATAGACACATCGAAAAATTTATTTACTTATAATTCAATAAACTCAATAAATAATTGGTAACTCATAAACTCAAATTAGCGAAGATTATTCTTTATTTAATTATTTAACAGTATGTAAAATATTATTAAGAACACTATTAGAAAAGTATAATTTTATTAATCGGGTTAAACAATATTGCTCGACCTACAATAAACATTATAAATTCAAAATCATAACCCTCCTTTTTGCTTCGCCGTATTCGGGTAAAAATATCTGCTAAAGCATCACATATCGGTTTATTTTTACAAACATCCATCAAGTGGCCAATTATGCTAGATATTTAATAAAAATTAAATCAATCAATTGTTTCAATCGCTATTAACAATTCTAGTAGAATCTTGACTCTGACTCATTAAAAACGGGTACCGCGCTCGAAGGTCGACAAACTCCATCGAGCCTTACGACTACGTTGTTTCCGCAAAGCCTTACTCACATCCATTATAATGAATATAAGATACAGAATTGCAGACAGAGGGGAAAAATGCTGTTGTTTTCTTTTAAATATTTTCAATAAATATCATTCTAACATAACAACATTTAAACATCCGAATGTATTTACAAACTTTCGTATTTTTCTGTAACTTTTGGTGCATTTATATTTTCAAGTTGATTCTTACGATTCTCCTAATCCTTGACCTGTAATTTGAAAATCAATATGTTACTTCAAATACATATTCTTTGCAGATAGTGCTTTCGTCTTTCCATTAGGTAGTTTCCGTCAGCTTGTCTGATATTCCCGCCATATAAATATACATACATGCATATATGGGTCATTCTTTTTTCTTAAAATTTTTACTCAAATTTCCAAAAAAAAATATAACGCTTTCTAGTCTAATCTTGTATGTTTTGTGATAGCTGAATGTCTATTCTATCTGAAAAAGTTGTTGGCCGCGAAGTTTACAAATTTTGTAAGATTTTCGAGGCCTTAAAGCAGGATTGGGCTAATAATTGTACACCTCCGTCACAATATCTTTTATTTTTTTGTATCAAATAGCTTAACTCAGATAGCTTGCAAAGTATTTTTTACAATAATAATCAAATGGTCCTTTTAGAAAACTTACATAGCGAGACTTCTGTATATAACACTAAATAAATATTTTTAATCTTATACCACTCTGTCACAATTGTAGTTTTTTAGAAGTATATTTTTGCTATAATTCAATTTTAACCACTTCTAGCACAGAAATATTAATGTTGTAGACTATATTATAGTTAACCATTTTTTTTATAATTTTTCCGAAACAAAATATTAAAATTATATGGTCCTATTTCAACAGATTCTTATATTTTACTAGCTGTACCCGCGACTTCGTCCGCGTAAATAATGAAAAAATATTTAACTCAATTAACACAATATAAGTCAAATAAATAAGTTTCATCATTTTAGCTTAAAAAATGATAAAAAATAAAAATAAATATTTAATCAATAGACTAAAAAATAAATTTCAAGCTTCTAGCTTTAAACATGACGATATATCTATATGACCTTGGATCTACCCTTTCAATCCTCTTGCAACCCTTTTTCACATTAAAAAGTAACCTATTACCTTTCTCAGGATCTAGTCTATCTATGTCTGTTTCAAATTTCAATTTAAATCGGTTCAATATTTTTGGCGTGTAAGCGAGACAAACAGACAGACAAAGTTACTTTCACATGTATAATATCAGTAGGGTATTTAATAAACTAACTCTAAAAAGACAAAGAAAAAAGTTTAATCGTTCTAGCTTCCACAACCACACAAACAGCAAATTTCCACAATAACTTTCATTCCCTATTTTATTTTACTACCCCCCCTCCCCCTAAGAGTAAAAATTTTACAAACATTGAATGTCTAAAAATGAGTCTCAAACTTCTAGTTTTAAAAAATGACGATTCTTCCATACAGCGTACCATTGCAACCCCCTTACAATCCTTTTTTCACATTCAAAAGTACCCTATATTCTTTGTCCGGGTGTAAACTAACTGTGTTTAAATTTTTTAATTTCATTTAAATTTTTGTTTTGTTTTGGAGCGTAAGACTGACAGAAAGACAAACAGACTTACTTTCACAGTTATAACATTAGTGGGGTATTTAAAAATCTACCCCAAAAGAACCAATGAAAATAGTTTCATCGTTCTAGTTTCAAAAATTACGAATTTACATAATAACTATCATCCCCTATTTTATTTTGCCCCCTTAAGGGTAATTTTTTTACAAACAATGAATGTCATATTTATTTATATTTAATCAACAGCCTCAAAAATAAGTTTCAAGCCTCTAGCTTAAAAAATGACGATTTTACATAAAAATTTGCATCACCTATTTTATTTTACCCCCTTAAGGGTAATTTTTTACAAACATTGAATGTCATTTTTATTTATATTTAATCAACAGTCTCAACAATCAGTTTCAAGCTTCTAGCTTCAAAAATGACGTGTTTACATAAAAACTTGCATCCCCTATTTTATTTTACCCCCTTAAGGGTATTTTTTACAAACAATGAATGTCATATGTATTTATATTTAATCAACAGTCTCAACAATAAGTTTCAAGCTTCTAGCTTCAAAAATGTCGAATTTACATAAAAATTTGCATCCCCTATTTTATTTTACCCCCTTAAGAGTAATTTTTTACAAACATTGAATGTCATTTTTATTTATATTTAATCAACAGCCTCAAAAATAAGTTTCAAGCTTCTAGCTTCAAAAATGACGATTCTTCCATACAATCTTTCACCCCCCTTTTAACCCCTTACAACCCTTTTTTCGCATTAAAAAGTAGCCTATGTCCGTTCTCAGGGTCTAGACTAACTGTATACCAAATTTCATTCAAATAGGTTCAGTAGTTTTGGCGTGAAAGCGAGACAGACAGACAGAGTTACTTTCGCATTTATAATATTAGTTTTTGTCGCAGCACAAAAATATATTTTTATCGTTTCCGTACAAATAGTAATTTTACAGTATTAATCTACAAACCAACATTTTGTTTCTTACAATCAGCTAAATAATTTAAATAGTTTCATAATATATGACACAATGAAAGGG